GATTGGAGAAAACCTATAAAATAACTTGTGGGAGCACTCACTTCGTATTAAAAAGTATACTAGTGCGATCACACCCTTTCTTTTCTATGGAGAACAATTTATTACTTACTTTCTTATAAACAACATTCATGCAAAAACATTTAGATATGTTTAGGGATATAGTAAAATACGATTAATTCTTACCATCTTACCCAAACTACGGTTACTTACATCTCCATTTTCGTCATTTTATTTTTATTTCATTACAAGTATCGTTGGGTGCACAAACATTTCTTTTATAAATCATCGGTTGTCCTCATACCCCGTTCGGTAATGGGCACCACAATAAAAGATCATCTCAATACCCTGTCTGATATGAGTGTGTTAATTAATTTCCAACTCCATTCGATATGGGACCTCCCAGTCCCATGAGACTGAGGACATGTCCACTGTAGGGTTTACTCTATGCACTAAGTTTGTACACTCTCTCCCATGATACTAGCAAAACCTTTATTTACATTTATGTTTAAACGTGCATTTAATTATAATTTTATGCTATTCAAGAGATTAATGACATGTAAAAACTTGTAAATCACTAAAACAAGAAACATACAAATCGTGCCCTACTACTCATCAAGGACGAAATCAAAATTCAACCAAAATGACGCAAGTGGAACGCACGTTTCATGAATTGAACTAACACTACTAATAAAAGTTACAATAAAACATAAAAATAAATGAAGTGAAATAATCATTCACAAGATAAATGAAACAAAGGTAATTAAATACGGTGATTTAGCATATATGATCAACACATCGATTCCAAATGAACACATAAAACAAATATAAGGGCGGACTGATAAACGGAATAGAGATAGAAACTGAATGATAAGTAAATACAGAAAATGAAACAAAGGCAAGATAAATATATAAATAGAGGATATATGTATAATAAATTAATAATATGGCAAGATAAAGTAGAACGATAAATTAAAGTTTTATTAGCTCCATCGGCAACTTAGAAGATCGGATTACACAACATAGATTATATTTGAGTTCAATTAAGTATACACATATATATATATATCCACTTATTTTATTGTTTTATTAATTCCTTTTTATTTATTGTTTTATCCAGCCTTTATTAGCTGTTACGAAGGGGAAGGTTTAGGTATCCTATCCCAAATCGGCCGATGGCAGTGCTATTTCTCATAACCACCAGTTGTGGTGATTTTTACCCTCGACTTTCTCTTTTTTCCTTTTTTATTCTCTCATTTCTTTGCTAAACGAAGAAAATAACATGTTATCAATGTCTATTGAAGAAAAAATGGAACAGAGGGGGTGGACGACTCACCAAAATTGGCCCGACTTACGTGTCTCCTTCCTCTCGATTCGTGGCCTTTCTTGGATCAATTTGCTTTCAAGGTGTAAAAAAAACGATTGAGAATGGAAAATAGGAAAAGTAAGAGAAAACTTAGCTTTCTAGTATTATTTTTGGCTTCCGGCACGATGACACCATTGTCCCTCTAGTGGTTGAGCTCCCTTCGACGTCCCTGTCTTTTTTCTTATCCGGTCGAGCTAACAGCTAGGGTTTGGGACGCCGATCGAATGAGAGGTTTAAATACCTCTCTCCCCTCAATTTAAGTCATCCATCTGAGCCCCCATGGATCAATAGGAGCCATCTGATCTTTCCTATTTGGGCAAACCCAGATTATCCTCCCTTATGCATTTTGGACAGTCCAATCGATCAAGCCCATAAAATAGAGCTGTCGATTACGCAGTCGTTGGATTCATCATGTGGGCGATTAGGGTTGTTTGTGCATGCAGGAAAGAATCTGAGTCGTTCGATCCCTTAAACACGAAGATCGCTAACGTGGCTCCCCGCGTGGGAATGTCTGTTGGATGCTTGCCATGCGGCACATCTTGATTCACCATGCTATTGATGTTGTCATCCTACATGGCCTGTCTACTTTAATTTGAGAAGTGGCACTATTTTTTCCAAGTTCTTTTCATGCGTATTGGCCTTGATTTTTGAAATTTATTTCAAAGTGGCCCAAAGAGTGAATTTTTGTTATTATTATTATTATTATAATTATTAGTATTATTTTTATTATTATTAATATTTTTTATTATCATTGACGTAAATAAAATAAAATATTAATTTTTTAATTCAAAATTAATCATTCTCGAACTTGGGATGTTACATGAAAACATAATCTCAATACCCTTTATGGACCATATGGCCTCTCCATGCGTTAGGGGTATGATCATTACTTTAACTTATTTAGATTCGATTGTGAGATTTCCTATTGTGGAAGAATACAATGGGGTGAGCTACACGTGCTTAGTAAGAATCATTTAACAAGTCAACCTGTAAAATGTAAATTAGAACAAGTGGGCCCTCCTGTACTCTACCCCCAAGAGCGTCTAAATTATTGTCTTCCTTAATTTCTTAAAAGTTTGCATGCCTCCTTAGTAATTACCTAAATGTATTGATGTCATTTCTCATATTTTCACTGTTATTGTTCATTTACTTTTATCTCACAAAATAATTAAATTTTTCATTGAGATATCAGATAAGATAGAATTGTTAAAAGTTTCAGATTTTCAATCATTATGCTTCCGCTATAATTATCCTCATTTCTCTCCTAATAAACACAATAATCTCAGTGTTAAGGATTTGAAAAGGTAAATATCTATTTAACATATCATTCATCTCTTATATCACAAGTGGACACTAGTGTCTCATCATACAATACTGTTTACATCATTATCAAGAGGGAATATTCAATCTACCACTAACACGTGGACATAAATCGCCAATAAATGCCAATCAAAACCAGACAATACTACCAATAGATGGGTCTCACACTCGATCGTAATAGCAACACACACAACTAGCCCTCTACTCACCTAGTGTGATAGCTCAAAAATACCATCAAGTTAATTTCTTATATTTGATATATTTAATTTATCTTTTATATGTATTTAGAGATATATGATAAGGTTATGGATATAGTTTACAGTCAAATAGAAAAAGGATTGATAGAGGTGAGGGAAGGAGTACGAAGTGTGTCATTTTGAGAGTATTGTGAGGTTTTAGATTTTAATCTTGAGGAAACTTTGCTAAATTCGTGAGAGTGAATGAAGAGGAAGAAGGCTCACGGTCAAAAAAATGTCATAAACTGTTAGAAAGGTTAGCCTTTTCTTAAGGTTTAAAATTTGATTCTTTTTATTTTTTAGGGTTAGTTTTTCAGTATTATGTTGGATATTTTTATGTTAAGAAAGTGACCAAAATTATTATGAAACTCAGCTGGATTTTTAAGGTTTTAAATACAATTGCTAAGGACCTAAAGTAAGTGGATATTATGGATTCATTTGTCTATGTAGCTTTTAAGTATTTTACGTATTTTTAGTACAAAAATGTTCAAGTCTTTAATTAGTATTTCATATTTGCTAAGTATTTCTTAAAGTTTTACTTTGATATAAGTGTTATTTCATTTTTATGTTTTTGAAATATGATTTTGATATGTGTGCATCACTCATTATGGGCACGAGTTGTTCTAAAAGCACTTGTATTATGCTAGGCTTCCATGTGGCCATACATACCGTTTCATATTTGGGTGTATGGGAAACAATCTAATCTACGTACCCTAACAATTTCGTGTTCAGGGGGTAGCAGTGTTTCAAGGTACTCATTAAACCATTTCATGTTCGAATACATGGGGAACCAGTGATAAGTATATATACTTACACATAATATATGGTAACTGATTGATCCTCTATAATAGTGATGAAGTATACAACAAAACAACTGTGAATTTGTTTTCTAATTTGTCCATTCATCTTCTTATTTGTATATCTATTTTTGGAATAAGTATATGATATATGTTTTTGTTGTGTGTAAAAAAAACTATATATTATTGTATTTTTCTGACGTGTGGGCTTAATGTGGACCTTAGTATGTGTATCAGGCTGTGAATTTAATGGGCTAGTTTAAAAGTAATCAAATATGGTTAAACAATATTGGGCCTTAATGCATCGGGTTTAAGTATGGGCTTATAATGTGTAGATACTATTTTTATAATATTCTCATTTTATGATGGGAGAAATGGAAATTGTAAAAGTTAGTTGATATAAAAGGTGGTTATGGTCCTCGAATCATTAGGCTATCATTTTTATTTTTCTAAAATCCCGTCACATGGAAAAACTAGTTTCAAGGCGCCGTATTACTTTGTAAGATTCTACCGCCGGACGTGAACAAATCTTCTACGATGGATTCAGGTACGCTTTTGATTATATTTATCTTTAATTCAATATGAGGATGTATGTTTAATTTTTTATAGATCTACGGATTTGAAAAGAAATTTTGTTATAACAATTGGTATCAGAGCCATTTCTCGTATTGAATTTTT